CACAGGCCGCTGAACAGAACACCAGGCATACAGGATACCACAGGAAGATGCGACATCGACCCACCATAAGACCGCCCACTTCTTAAGCTATATTTTCCAAACTTCAATCTGGGGAACAAGCCCTAGTGTTTGATTCAAGTCGATAGCTTTCTATTGGAGTAAATGACTACTGGGCTAAAAAGGTGTCCAGACGAAGTACTCGTCGTCGTCGGCTTAGAAGGCTCGCGGAACGGCGATTCAAGGCCTCAAAACATTGACTACAGATAGAAGGAACTGTATCTAGCTCAGTCCTCTCACAGACAACGAAGCTTCAGAATAACCATGTAGAGGTTGAGCCCACAAGGTATTGCGTACGGCGATGACGCAGCTGGTTGACCATGCTATTGACCGCGGCATAGTCACCTAAAAGTCATCGGCTAGCTAGGAAGATAAGAGTAGATCCTAGGCCTCTTTATCTATAGAAACTGTAAATATTTCTGTACGTGGTGGTTATATGAAATTTTGAATGCCCTTTTCCTAACAGTCTTACGTTGAGGTGGCTCCCTACCTTGGACTGGCGGACGCTGAACTACACAGAAGAGTAGGTTGGTAGTAATGTTACATGATGGACCTACAAACCTACAACCTGACAGCTAGACATATCCCAAATGGGGCAATTGATTGATTATCAAACCGAATATGAGTAACTAATCTGTAACGAATGCCAGCAGCCAAAGTTTGACCTCTACTGCATACATACGATGCACCGAAGGGATTACTTGGCGGACTGCTTGGCGATATTCGTCAGTGCTTTGATCGACGGAGAAAAGAAATACTCCCCTCCCTTAGGAATCACGCAGCACTTCAAATCGACGTGAATGTTGTCGTTCTGGCCGTCACATAATCCCATGACGAATGGGTCAGGTCCGTTAGGCTGACCACAGATGGGGTCGGCACCAGGTCCTGGAGGGCCAGTAATACCTCTCTTCAGCGGGGGAAAAGTGTTCTTGTTACACCATTCTGCTCACAGTTGTTAGATATCAAAGGACAATACGGTACATGGTATTAGTGATATGGCGGGATCCCTTACGCTCTTGAACTCGCCTGAAACCATTCGCAATGTTGCTTTGGTAGCACAGAAACAGCATTCCACGCTCATTCTTTGTTGTCTGTTCATCGTGTTCTTCTTTAGTGACTTCGTCCCCATAGGGTATGCCCCGACGCAATATGGAAAAAGTATTCTGGTCCTTGACATCTCCGCGAGGTCTGCACTTGCGAATATGCGCGGCGAAAGGACACTTCTCCTGATTATTGCCGGGTTGAAAGTCAAAGTTGTTGCAGTCAGCGAGCGAGGGATCATCTTCCCATGGCGTAAGAAACACAGGGGCACCTATGTCATCTTGTAAGTTTCCTTCATGAATATACAGTAGGTTCAGCCACAAACCGCTCTTCCATCTGCCCATTAAGCGTGCTGACAGCTGATCACTGGTCAGATGATGCTCAGGAGCCGTATCATCCAGCCATCTAAGCACTCGTCAGACTATTCCGGTGAAATATTCACACTTCTACCTGCTTACTTGTTGTACTCCGGTACAAGCTGTTTCAACTTGCGGAAGACAAGGAAGCTACCATCCGTCGCCCAATCCGGCTGACCAACAGGCTCTTGGTCGGCATTGGTAATAATATACCTAAAAGAATATAACGTTAGTACTATTTACTGCGTGTAGTTTTCAGAAAATTGTAGCTACCCTGGCGGTACAAGCGGCGGCTCATGATTACCCTTGGGAGCCGGGTCGAGCCCTTCCAGCTGGGGTTGGGAGATGAGGTCACGGTAACCAAAGCTGATGACGGTCAGTTGCCATTTCTTTTCAGTACATTTATCACTTCTCACTGTTCCCTGCTGCTGTTGGGATCTGGTCGCACGTGGCCGTACTCTACGAAGAGCTCCTTGATGCTGGAAGAGAAACCAAACCATCCAATGAAGAGCTGTTTTACCTCGCGCAGTTTTGCCCGCGCGGTCTGCTCAGAGCGGCCGGTGACAAGAATCACACCATCAATATATTGACCTTCGACTTCGGGCTTGAATTTTGCCTCCCAGTCGTCCGGATTATCCCGACCTTCACCACCGGCAACTCCACCTTGCAAGTCTGCAAGCATACCTCCTAGGAAGTTCCCAGATTTCAGATTGTCGTTATCATCCTTGAACAGCTGGGTAGGGATATCAGAGATGGTCCTCGAACAAGGAGAAGGGATGGAGAGCTCACTTTTTTCAGTCCTTTGGCGCTCAAGGCGATGTTCACACCGGTAAGTGGAATCACTTGTAGCTTTTCTTCTCCACTGGGTACCTCAGTCTTGTTCAGTCTGATCTGCTCGTGGTGTTTAAAGGCACCATTCGCCGTAGTAATCAGAGGAATAAGTGTCTTCAGGTCTCTACGAAATCTCGTCTCACGGGTAATATTGAAAAATAGAAAAAATTCATGAAGCTTCGGCAAACCCGGCCTAAGGAATGTTACTATCGTATGACGGAAAGCGTGATCAGGCACAGACTCACCAGATGTTGCCTTGGATGTTGTCCTTATTAAGATCGAGCTTCTTGATTCTTTCAGGGGTCATGTTGCAAGACAATATATTCTGATCGAGCAGGCTGTAGTATGAGGCTTAGGTAAATGGCGAGGCATATAAAGGAAGAGAGCCTAATGAGCAATCACGGATATTTGTATTACGGTCACCAGATTTCCTCCAATGATCCGTAAAATATCAACTCCTGTTCCATGGTATCTAGTAGATGCAACCGAAGACTATCTCATGCACAGAGTGAGATGAAAAGTATGCCGCTGTTGAAACCATAAGAGGTGTAAGCGTAATCGACTTTGCATATTCAGCGGCACGTTACATCACACAAAGGGAGAAGTGCAGCTACCAAAGATGATTCCTCAAATATTTGGTTCATGACGCTCCAAGATGAAACAAACATCGATGGAAAAGTATTGCATAAAGCTTGTCAGAGCTTAAATTTGAAAGAAAGTGATGTTGCCTACTGCTTCACGAGGCCACACTTCTCCCACCCCTCCACTCCGCCATATGTAGCGTACATCAGGCAGCCATCGCTTAAGTGCTGCCTTATTAGGGGTTTGATTGGGGTAGAAGATGCTAGCGTACTCCGTGATAGTCATAGCTTGAATCTGCTAGTCTGTGGCGTGGTATCGCCACTGCTTCGGCTAGCCAGGAGCTATCCAGCCTCGTGGAGTGCAGGACTCGCTGGCCACAATTCCAAATACGGACGAAAACGGACACTTGTTTTGGTTCAGGAATTCAACAGATGTTAATATACTAAACCATAATAATACGTGGAAATAATGACAACATGACCAGTATCTAGAATCCTTCTACCGACTCTCAGCTCCCAGCGATGATGATGAATACAGCGTGGGTTTCAGGCCTCGATAATTTCTGATGGAGACAAGTATATATTAGGGGTTCTTGGAATAGTTTACAGTTCAACAATGAAGACAAGATCTTCAACGTGAACTCAGACACTTTCACTCTATTTTCTAATGGTGGATTAAGGATTTTTAGCGACTAATGACAACCTTGGCTTGTGCCATACGGTGAACATAGCAGAATTTTTGGCTGGAAAGTTCTCCCTATCTTCCAAGCAGCCCCATGCCGTGTAATGCACTGGAGCTCTGTTAAGGGCTCAGAGAAGGTTACTATGGCACCCATTTAAAGCGCAGACTATAACTAGACATCTGGCAATGCAGCGATGCTGAACACAGTTAATCACTAGAGAGTTTTCTAATAAAAAAATCCTAACACTATAAAGGTTCATCTCTTTTATTATTGGTGATCCCCGCACCATGCCAGATGTTGTAAAAGCTGAGGATATATGCACTACAAGCTCAGTTATCTTGCCCCATGGGAACCATCTTTATCACTGGGTGGTCAGGCTTATAGGCTCCCATTCAATGAAAGCACTGCATAGTTGATATTGGAGTGGTATATTCCAGCAGATGATGAGTTTGGGTACTTTCTAAACAACATTACCCAGGTGTACTATTGCGTGTCTTTACTGCTTCCAGATACCACAGTTATCAATAGCAGCTGAGGGACTTGCGCAGCAGCCCAGCAACTATTCTGATGCTCATACATTCATGCCCCCGTACCTATTTTGTCAGGATGGAGCACTCGCCTCGCACCCTGAGATAGAGAGTGTGACAGCCCGATATTGTCCAAATAGGGCAGCCAAACTACTATTGGGGCGGACACCTCCATTGCTGACGCCTTTAATGCGTTTTGGTACCCAAAGCACGAGTTAACACTGATCAGCGTCGCATCATGTTGGCCTGCAGCAATTGGAGAAAACTCCTGCAAAGCAAAGCCAATATTGTCAACGATCCCGTATTGCGCTTCGACGGATTATTTTAGTCTACTTGGTCTGGGCGGATATGGTGTGCCCAGCACATCCGAAAATATTCGAGTCAGGTTATAAGGCGCACGTCTGCGTTCCCGTAACCTGAGACAGGTTGTACAATAGGAGTTTAGATACTCGGCCATTATGGCCGTTCGGTTTTGAGTATTGGGAAGGTAGATGGTATTAGTGTTCGGAATACTGAGTCCAAGCTAGTTCATACGAACAATGGACTAGTGTGAGGCATTTTATTTCGGGAGAAGCAGCCTCTGGAGCCCTAGTTATAGCATTTATGCAGGATGCGTGACCAACTACATTACTGCCCATGCTTAGATTAGTAGCTCGTCGGTGCTTTTTCTCCACTGCTCCCAAATGGTAGCCTTGATTAACAATGCGGGGTTCCCTCGATGGGAACGTGGTGCACTTATGATAGGACGGTATCTGTGTATTAGCGGCACACCCACACCGTGCCTGACACGGATACCCAGAAAGAGCGATATGCAGTATAAGAACAGTGAATACATTCATCGGAGAAGTAATTTACAAAACTATCTCCATATAAACCCGGTTGGTTTAATTTTTCACAGCTCCTTGTAAGGAGTAACTCGCAGATCTAATTCTTAACCATCCCTTCGTAGATGCCTTGCATTGCGTCGAGAATGGAACCCCAATTATCGAAGGGCACAAATGGAATCGCTTTCTGTTCGCAGTACTTCACTAGATCTGAATACAATGGTTAGTATCTCGTATAACAAGAATTACAAGCCGTATTTTCCTTTGACTGGATGTGAAGGCAAAGAGAACACTTGCCTAAACCTTCCTTGGCAAATAGGAGGTTTGTTTCGGACGCAGCAGAGAGGTCCGAGACTCCGTCTCCTGCAAAAGCCACCATAGGACGTTCTTCGTCAGACAGTGCAACACAGTGCTTGATTTCTAGCGATTTGTCGTGGCCAAATATGCTATAATGCTTACTATGTCAATACAAGGACTCGACGAGGTGTTTTCATAACTGGCCCACTTGCCTATCGTCGCGATATTTGATTTGCCATCCACCAACCATGTCGACATGCTTACCGTTGTGAGGCGCGACGTTGTTTGCAATGACAAATATGTTGCTAGGCTTGCTGCCAAACAAGTTAACCAGTAATGCCTCTATCACAGGCGTCATTCCTGAAGACAGAATCACAATGGGAATTCTTTTCTCTTTTGCCCAGAGATAGAAGTCGATAAAACCGGGGTCGAGCTGAATATTTTCCTGCACGATACGAAGGCATTCGTTGAAGGGCATTCGCACGCTGTCAAGCATGGCCTGAAAGGCATCTCTGGCGGGGTCATTCTTCGGCACACTATTGTAGGTCTGGGAATTTCTACGTTGCGCTAGCACGTACCTGAATGCCAAAGTTCCATTTAGGACTTCTAGCTCAAGCATCCGGCGTTTTTCAGCCCCGAAGCCGAAATTGTCAACCTGTACAGATGGTTAGTTGTTGTGAACCATTATTGGCGTAGGGGTTATTACTAGGTAGTCATTGCCTAACCAACTCCTTAGTAATGGCTTCATGAAACATGAAGTTGTAAAGAGTGCGGGAATATATATCTTACAGTCCTGCAAAGTAATAGTGCCGTCGAAATCAGTGAAGAAAATTGCTTTCGGACTACCACTGAGGTACTGGTGCCCGCCCTCCATTTGTGGGGAGCTTTGGGCCATATTTCGTCCCATGCTGCTTCAGAAGGAATGTGAGAATTGACATATACTTGGGAGAACGGTGAGGTGCATTTTTGATTTATTTTATCCAGAGAGTGACTTCTTCAATTTGATCCGTCCGTTAGGAGCCAGATATTTCTATTGAAGCTGACGGTCGGCTATCATTAAGAAAAGCAAACTTGCAATTTATTTTTTCCACTTCCATCTGGCTTGTGGAGCAGACTTCGAAGAGTAGGGAACGTGGGGCATTCCCAAGCGCAGGGGGGTAGCCGGTCGACTGTCTTGCGTCACCCTCAGCAGCTTAGATCTAGGCCATCTTCACTGTTTTCGCCTTGGAGGATTCGGAGCTGACATTAGATATGGTACAATGTGTCAGGGTTTCCAGGGAGGGCGACAATTTTCATTTGCGTACAGTCCGATACTAAGCTTCCGGACCGCATTAGGCTACCAATGCAACCATATTGCCGAAAGCTCGCAAGGCGGCAGCTTGGCAAAGATTGCTCAGTTAAGGCCTGTTAGCTTCACATGATTTGTCATATACCATGCACTGTTCATTAAACGCAGTGACAGGGCCATGGCGGGGTCTTAGAATATACGACATACCCGTTAGCTACAAATCAAGTTCCACAGAAGTTGTATCCTATATCCTAATTTCACCATCCCGATTTGATGGGTAGATACAATAGCTGAGGTCTAACAATTTCTCACGCTGAATCTGTCATGTGGGCTAGCTAGGTATAATTGAGCGACTTGGTTGTGACTTTGGATGGATGCAAACGGCCAATTGCATGCCCAATAAACTCTACCACCAGAACGTAGAAAGGTGACAAATATGATACTTTGTTCAAGGGGCCCGAACAGATAAGCTGCGTCTGGCGGATAGCACACATTCTATGATGCGAGGAGACAGCCATATCTGCTACAGGATAACGTTTGACAATAAACCACTTTCGCGCACCCCACACGGCGAAAGCATATGTTTGGCCTTTTAGTGCAACGTAAAATCTTGTCACCTTGGAGTTCAGGATAGATGAACTCCTGCAAACATACTGTCTCAGGGTGAGGGGCTTTCAGTAAAGTGTATTTGCCTATGCTACAGTGCGGTCCTTAGGTGTGTCGAGAACATGAAGTGTTGCATTCCTGGTGACTCTCTCATGAACATATCACACCGGGGACCAGATAGGAACCATGATTTGGCTTATAAATGGACGTCACTGTGAAGGCTACGACCTTGGATGGGACCAACGGGTCGTCTAAGTGAACATTACATTTCTTCTGGCCATGTTGGACGCGTTCGGTAGTCTGTTTGAAAGACAACTTACGACCTGTCCATCTTGCAGTCACGAAAGGACAAGAACACTATTTAACTGCGTAGGCCGTAAGACGGGTGGGTGTGCGGTCACATTTGTTTGCCTCTTTCATCAAATTTGAATGACTCTGATCGTTCTATCCGTACTATAAGCAGCATGGGGTCTATTCCGGAGCCAGCTTACCTTTACAAAAATGTTGTCCACAGCCCGACAGAACCTTCTGTTCAGTCTGCCAAGGGAATGTACATTCACCTTGATAATGGGCAGATAATTCTCGACGCCACCTGCGGCGCGGCTGTCTGTGGTATCGGACACGGTGTAGAACGTGTGAAGCAAGCGATAATCTCGCAGCTTGATCAAGTCGAATACTCCCACCCTGGATACTTTCCAAATGCACCAGCTATGCAGCTTGCAGATCTACTTGTGGAGTCTACAGGCGGGAAGATGTCTCGGGCGTGCATTCTGGGGTCCGGTAACACGCCCCTCAGTATCCCGTGCGTAAGAACTCATTTGGCGCCGGACTGACTACGTGGGTTCCATAGGTTCGGAGGCCGTCGAGGCCGCAATGAAGCTTTCCCACCAGTACTTTGCAGAGGAAAACCCAGACACCCGACGAACCAAGTTCATCTCAAGACGCGGCTCTTGGCATGGCTGCACTTTGGGGTCTCTGTCCTTGGGAGACTTCAAGCCGAGGAAGGCTCGGTTCACGTCAATTTTGCCTCCCAATGTCACCCACGTATCGGCATGCGACCCGTACCATGCTCTCAGAGATCATGAAGACTTGGAGACATACGTGGCCCGACTGAAGCAGGAGCTTGACGAGGAATTCCAGCGACAGGGACCTGACACCGTCTGTGCCTTTTTCCTTGAGCCAGTGGCCGGAACAGTACGCAACTCTCCATCACTTACTGGGCTTGGCAAATGTTGACCGCTATGAAATTTAGGCCCTAGGCTGTGTTCCCGCAGTACCTGGCTACCTGGAAGCCATGCGGGAAGTATGCGACCGCTACGGGGCACTTCTGGTCTTTGATGAGATCATGTGCGGCATGGGCCGCACTGGATCCATGCACGCTTGGCAGGTGGACGGTGTCGTACCTGACATTCAACTTGTGGGCAAGGGTCTCGCAGCGGGATACGGAACCATATCGGCCCTGCTTATCAACGATCGCGTTGTTTCTGGGCTGAGACGGGGCGGGGGATACTTTGTTCATGGACAGACCTACCAATCGCACCCGCTTGGTTGCGCGGCCGCAGTTGAGGTTCAGCGGATTATCAAGGAGAATAATCTGGTCAGCAACTGTCGGGAAATGGGTGAGTACCTCGGGTTGCAACTGAAGCTGCACCTCGGACATCATCCACATGTGGGTGATATTCGAGGCAGAGGTCTTTTCTGGGCGGTAGAATTCATGGAAGACAAGGCTAGTAAGACTCCATTTGATAGTAACCTTACCCTCAGCAAGCGCCTACAGACCAAGGGACTAGAAAAGGGCTTTGACATCTGTCTATTTGCTGCTACTGGTGCGGTAGATGGGTGGAAAGGCGACCACTTCTTGCTTGCACCGCCATACACCGTTGGAAAGCAGGATGTGGACGAGATCGTGAGTCGGGTTGTTAAGGTTATTCATAGTGTGTTTGAGGATATCTATGCTTTGAGGCAGCAACATTCCCGCCATTAAGGTCTTTGTTTTCTGTCTTATTATCTGGGTTTGTGACTGCTTTCGGGATGGATTTGCTTTACTGTTTCAGCAAGAACATAGTAATAATAATTTCGCTATATTTTATGGTCCTCCTCCTGCCCTGATGGACCGACATCCGTGGAACCTTGGATAGCCAAATACTACCGTGACAGAGAGCCGTGGGGATGTAAAATTTTTCGGGCTATGGTCTTCCGTGGACCAGGCCACTATACCACATTTTTCTTTTTTAATCTAGATTCTTCTGTTGTAGGTTGTATCCGTTGATTAGGGTAACAATAGTCCTGCATGCTTAGTAATTTCATGGAATTCGACGTCAGAAGGAATGATTTACGGATTGATACCGCTTCGAGTTTTAGGCCACAATTCCGACGGGCCGGCCTATTTCCTTTCTTCATAAGCCCTTCCTTCGCTGTTCGTCCCCTATACTGTTTTGTCTCTCCCTTTGCTCGGTTATAATCGTCTCTTCTTACTAGACGCTCCGATACGCTAGCAAACGTTCGGGCGATAGCAAACGTTCCGACGATACACTTCTAACTTACATCTTTTTGGATAGGGTAACCGAAGAAAATGCTGGAAACAGGTTCTACAACGCCCCTATTATCATCACGGTCTGAGAGTTACGTTCATTATCAGACCATTATATCAGATCAAAGCCTTCCCAATGGAAATGATTTGCGCAATACGGAGTTTCAGCCAGAAAAGTGGAATGAGCCTCGCACGAATGTTTGGCGCGTTTTCGCCACTTTCTACAGCTTTATCGTCGTTGGGGCAAATGATGGTGCATACGGTGTACGCCATGAGTCGACCATTTTTGTTTATTCCTTGTGCTAATCGTGCGTCGCGTATAGGCAATGATTCATTACGTATGTTTATCCCATAGATTCTCATCCCCGTGCGCATCGATGGTGCAAAGTTGACTCCCTCCTTATCCCGGCCTCAGTTGGGAAAATATTATGATGCGGACTATACGACTGTTTCACTTGTGTTCCTTTCCCCGTTCATCGGTTACGCGATTGCTGCTCTTGGGAATAATTGGATACATGATCGTTTTGGACAGCGTGGCATTGCATTAATCGGGTCAGGGTTGCATATAATCTCATACCTTGCGACTACTCGACACCCGCCCTATCCGGTCCTAATTGCTGTCTTCATAGTATCAGGGCTAGGAAACGGAATCCTGGATGCCTCCTGGAATGCATGGATTGGTGCCATGCACAACAGCAGCCAGTTGATGGGAATCTTGCATGCGTTCTACGGTCTAGGAGCAGCTTTGGCGCCGCTAACAGCATCCTACCTCATCACGGACAAAGATTGGAAGTGGTACGACTTTTACTATGCAATGGTCATTGCATCAGGAATAGAATTCCTGACCTCAGTGGCAGCCTTCTGGTCCTCGACAGGGTCAGGATCTGAAGAGCCGGATGCTGGTACAGACAGAACTCTCTCATCCGATAGCTCGGATAATCCTGCGTCCATCGCACTATCAAGGAAACCCACTCTGGAGTCATTAAGAATACCATCTACATGGGTACTAAGTCTCTTTCTCTTTGTATATGTCGGAGCTGAAGTCACTATTGGAGGATGGGTTTTCACCTTCCTAGTTGACCTCCGAAACACGCCTTTGTCTATTGCGGGTTTTGTTAGCTTCACCTACTGGGGAGGACTAACAGTTGGCCGTGTGTGCCTCGGCTTTCTAACCCCATTTTTCAAAAGTCAGCGCCTGGCAGTCCTTCTTTACTTGGGTTGGTGTATTTTCTTACATCTTACATTCTGCGTCGTTGATGACCTCCGCCTGTTAATCCTTTCGGTGACCTTGCTTGGTTTCTTCCTTGGCCCTCTTTATCCCGAGGCAGTCATTGCTCAAGCAAAGCTTCTGCCAAAGTCTCTCCATGTTGCCGCTGTGGGTTTTGCTTGCGCTTTGGGTAGTGCCGGAGGATCAGTATTCCCTTTCATTACTGGCGCGATTGCCAAGGCT